TGACAGTAGTATTTTAAGCAGCAATTAATCAAGAATATGTTTTCATTTCAACAGTCTGCTTTGATTTTTAACTTTAAAAGAAACTGGGCTTTGAGGTGTATTCTTATAAATGAAAGGTTGGCAGATGTTTCTGTTTCTGCTTGCTGCTTCTCTGCTGTCACTAACCACTGCTAAACCAAAGCAAAATGAAAGGATAGGGTCTGTGGCTTCTTCTGGGCTTCTGTGCTGCCCAGTAACAGGCTGAAGGGCTAAGTGAAAAGTAATTAGTGTATCCCAATAGTGAAATTCTCTCATGATTCTGAGAGAGCAAGTAAAAATGTCAAGGTCTGTTTATGTGCTAAGATCCACCATTGATCTTCCTATTCTTTTAGTAAATTATTCCCAGAATTTCCTCATGTTTCCTCATTTAAACTTTTTTGCAATTTTAATTTTTCAAAAAATTAAGTCCCATTTTTAACACTGGTATTTTACTTGTTTGTTTTAGGATCTCTGTATGGTATAATGCAGTTATTTTCCAGCACGTTTGTGGTGAGTTTTGACGCTGAATTCCTATGTTGGTATTTCTATGGATTTTAAGGGGAGAAAGGAGAAGGATAATAATAGTGTTTCTTGACATTTTGAAAATGTTTATTTGTTCATATAAGCATTTTTAGTTGGAGGATCCAGTTTTTAGTTTGCATGGAAATGATCTGTTTGGTTTATAGGGAATTGCCAGATTTTTCAGAACTAAACAGAATACAGTCTTTAGACAAAAATTAGAATCCAGATTGGGGCTCAGAGAAATTACTGAGCACATTGTAGTCACAGAGGGGTCTCTTCACTACTGGTGCTAGGAAAGCAGGTTCCACCTATGCAGTAGCCTGTCCAAAAAAACAGTGTCATGAGTCAGTGCTTCCTAGAGACTGTTACCTAGAGTTTGCTTTCCCTGCTTAACAAGCAGTGCCTTGTAATTTGCCATATGCCCTAAATTCATACATTACATCTTTGAGCTTTGTTTGGGTTTGTTTTCTGTTAGGTTTTGCTTTATTTTTTTTGTATATCCTAATCTAAGCAAGAGAGCAAAGACTAAATCTCTTGAATGCATGCTTTATCTATGCTTAGATCCTTATATTTAGCCAGGAGCACCTTTAATATTGCTCTGGTACCTCCTAGCTTTCAAGAGAGCAGATTTTGAGCATCTCATGAAAAAAAAAACAACTTCCTGCTTGTCATTGTTCAGGTGACAAACTCCACATAGCTAAGGTCATTCCTTTTAGGATGCTCAGCAAGTGTACAGTAAACAGCAACCACTGATGCAAATAAATATTTGTGGTTGATTGTGATAACATTTTCAAAGGACCCCTACTACTGATATTCCATGGTGTTCATTGCAGGAATTTATTTTTGAAAGAGATAAATTGTTTTTTAAGAAGCTCTGTGCATGACAGTAAATTGAATCAGTTTTAGCAGGTGCACTGCCAGCAGGGCTGAATTCTGATCAAGACTTCCAGATTCTGAGCACTTAGGAATGTTGTGTAACAAGCTTATTGAGCTTTCATTGACAGTCCTTTGATCTCTCTCAATTTCATGTACAAGTACTGATTGCTCATTGTACCTAGTTAAATGTTATGAAAAGCTAATCTTGATTTCCTGCTTTGTGAAAGGGCTGCTGGAGTGATATAGTGGGAAGACGGTATTCCCTGCTTGCTTGTATTCTTCTCAGTGCACTGGGGTACTTCCTTCTTGGAATATCCACCACTGTGCTCCTGTTTGCCATTTCTAGAGTCCCTGTAGGTGAGTAAACACTGGGCATTTTGCAGCTTAAACTCCTGTAGAGTCATTTTGATAATTACTAGAGAGATCACAGTATGTGGATGGCTCCATAGCACCATCAGCCAGTAGTACGAGCTTAGTAATGGGAAAATCTCTACAAATCAAACATGCTTGTGACTTTCTTCTGAAAATAATTTGCAACATATACTCAACAACTGTCACAAATTCTGTGCCACCTTGAATGGCTGAATTTTACGTGAGCAGGAGTACAGCAATAGCAAGAGGCTACTGTAAGTTGGTCCTAGCAGGAACACAGTACACAAGGTTACTGCTGGAAGTCTTGGCCTGCACTTGCAGTGGAGAATGGAAAGATATAACTCAAACTTAGACCACAAAATCTGGCTGAAATTTTAGGTCCTTGCTTCAATAGAATATTTATGTCATACAAAAGCATTGTTATGTTTGCAGTAGTGACTTTCCTCTGAAAATAATTTGCAACGTATACTCAACTGCCACAAATTCTGTGCCACCTTGAATGGCGGAATTTTACATGAGCAGGAGTACAGCAATAGCAAGAGGCTACTGTAAGTTGGTCCTAGCAGGAACACAGTACACAAGGTTACTGCTGGAAGTCTTGGCCTGCACTTGCAGTGGAGAATGGAAAGATATAACTCAAACTTAGACCACAAAATCTGGCTGAAATTTTAGGTCCTTGCTTCAATAGAATATTTATGTCATACAAAAGCATTGTTATGTTTGCAGTACCAAAACTAAGTTTGTGCCAGTCATTAAAATAGCTGAGCACTATCACATATATCCTGATACAATAAGCATTGCTATTACTATGAACACATCTGTGTGTGAATACACTATGAAAAATGGCACTTTTATGGCCCATATTTAGTTACTTGATTGAGTTTAATGCTAACAGCACTGTGGCTGTGGCAGCATGGCCACAATCAGAGGGAAGGAACACAAAAGATTGCTCTGTTGGTATTCCTGCAGTATGCTTACCTTTGTGTTCTTCTTTTGTCACTTGACAGTTTCCCACATGAATTTGGTGTGTTACAATCCTGGAAATCTTCATACTCAGCAAAGTTGGTCCAGAGTTCTGCTCATAAAGAGACAAGCCAGCTCCACTATTACCCACCCACAAGTTCCTATTTTAGCAGCTGTTTTATTCCTAATGGGCTTCAGCACTCAAGCTTAGTTATTTCTTTCAGCAGGGCTGCAGGAACACTCCTTTGACACAGATGCCTGAATAAGTTTGATTCCTAAATCCAGATCCTTGAATGGTCAGGATGATGGTCATGGCCCAATGTGCTGCATGAATCTACCACTGAAAAAGTTGTAGTTAGTGCAGGCTTAAAAATATCAGCGGTACACATTTTGACCACTGATATTTCAAATGGCTTCTGTTATTTTTAATCTTTTTGACTGAGCAATACATGTTGGTTGTTTTTTTGTTCTATATTATGTTGCAGGTATTTTCAAACACACACTCTCCATCTCTAAAGCCCTGCTCTCTGACTTGGTTTCGGAGAGGGACCGCCCTTTGGTAATGGGACGCTTCAATGCAGCCTCCAGTGTGGGCTTCATTCTGGGGCCTGTTGTTGGTGGCTACCTTACAGAATGGGAAGATGGCTTTTATCGAACGTCCTTCATCTGTGCCTCTATCTTCCTCCTGAATGCTGGTAAGTTGTGTCATATCTTGCATCTTGGGTCCCTTCATTACTCACTTTTGTGTTTTACTGACATTTGTAGTACCTTGAATTCATGGTGTGTTTATCATCTATGGCAAACATGCTTTGTACACCAATACTACCTTTTGAATTTGAATCTGTGTGGAAAGGCAGAGATTTTGTAACACTTAACCTCCAGAAGCTTCTCCTGTGTATTGTATAGATCACTTCTACATTTGGGACTGGCAATTTTTATTATGTCCAGAGATGAAAGACTAGAAATCAGAACTTTGGCTTTGGTCTTCAGATTTCTTTATGCTGTGAATGAGTCACTTCAGTGTTTTCCTTCCTTGCTCACTGCATTTAGAATTGAAGTGATACTGTGAATACCACTAGACTTAATCTTTGTAGTTTTATTTTTTTTTTTCAAGTGAAATGGTTGTGAAATTCCTTTTTTTAAAAATTTTGATCTTTACACTAAGTAAACTATTACGTTAAAAAGAATGTCTTCCACATAAAGTTACTGCAATTGGATGAAATCAGCTAATTTCTTGATCTGCATAGGTCTTGTGTGGATGTTGCCCTGGAGTGAAGAAAACAGTGGCAATAGGGAACATCAACAAGCCACCAAAGGAACAGACAGTTTCTCAGCAAAAGCCAACTGTGACCTGCATGTGAAATCAGCAACTAATGGAGCTGTGGCGAGCAACAGCCTCTTCCAGTCTCCCTGGACCCAAGTTGCAACAGTGCTGAGGAGGATTAAAGGAATTGCCTGCTCTGATCTGTGGGATATATTTTTAGTGCGGTTGCTGATGTCTGTTGCTATACTGCTGTACTACAGCAATTTTAGTTTGGCCTTGGAGGAGAGGTTTGGGGTGAAACCCCTGTTTGCTGGATACCTGATGAGCTACAGCAGCGCCCTGGGAGTGCTGGCTGGCTGTCTGCTGGGACCAATAACAAGACTCTATCAGCACAACACTTACAGACTTCTGCTGCACTCCAGCACTCTCACCTGCACGCTGATCCTCCTGTATGCCTCAGCACTCAGCATATGGCTGGTTGTTCTGTCTTCCACGTTCTTGGCCTTTTCCACCACTATAGGTCGTACTTGTATCATTGACCTGGAGCTGAGCATTGGTGGGAATGAGGCCAGTGGCACGCTCCTTGGTGTTGGACAGTCTGTCACCTCAGTGGGACGTATAGTTGCCCCGCTCCTTTCTGGAATTTCTCAGGAGTTCAGTCCCTGTGGCCCTCCCAGTTTAGGGGTTGGACTGGCTTTAGTAGCCATTCTGGTAATGAATGTGAACAAACAGAAATACTGCAGCCGTGGAAATGTTAAGCTGAAAAACCAATAGCTTTGAGTTTGGATTGCAGAGATGGCTCTTACAGGAGAGGCAAAGTGAGTCAGCCTGGGGTGATGCTCACGCCCCCAGACTTGGGCCAGGGGTACCAGGAGCTCTAAAGAGGTCACACTTTTTCTGTGTGGAGGCAAGTACATATCAGTATTTCTGCTGCAAGGATGTTGATTCTACACAAATGTTACTCTGACTGGTACCACTGAACACTTGTGAGAGGGACAGGTGGTGCTGTATTATACTGACTGGGATTTTTTAATGGCTTTTTAACCTTTTCAGAGGGAAAACAAGAATGACATGAAATATACAAACCCTGCTTGTAGCTCGCATTTGAAACAGTGTTTAGATTGATTGTTAAAAGGCAGGAATTGATTGTTATTATTTAATAAGAGGTGAATTTTTAGTATTTAATCAGAAGGAGAATTTGTGTTACAAGTCGTTAGCCTTAATTTTTTATGCTGTGGTCTGCTGCTGTTTGTCTCCTCTGATAGTAGCTTAATTAACAGGGTGTTTGCTTATGTGCCTTTTGTTAAGCATGTTTTGTCTATGAAACTTGCTACACAGCATGATTAGACACCTTAAGGTAGTCAGCCAGCCCCTGCTGACTCCTGGTCTTCCCTGGGTAACAGGATTTGGTATATGCTAACTTTATGTATTAGAAGATCTAAAATGGACAATTTTAGAATAATACAAGGTCGTTCAGACTGAAACAGACTGAAACTGAATATAAGATCTATTGAAACTTGAACTGGTGGTTTCTGTTTAGTGATAACTTCTACTGAGCAACTTTGTCATAAATTATTTGTTAATAATTCCTGTGCAGTTTTTCTGCCTTCATTTCAAGAATAAATTTGCTTGTTAATTCGTTTGAATAACTATTAAAAGATGTGCTGGAGCAACTCGCCAGTAGTTCGTGGATCTGGATTCATGCATTGTCTCTCCTCTCTGGAGGCAAAAGTGACATTTCAGTGATGAGAAGAACTGTTGGTATTTTCATCCTCGTGTGCCTGCACAGCTCCACTAATGAGAGGCTACTCACAGAGCTGTACTGAGAGCTGTAGCACTCCTGTGCTATTTACTGTTCAAACTCATAGTACTTGTCACCACTGTTTGCATTTCATTTGAAACATATGAAAAATGTATTTTTCACTGATAACATTCCGTGTGCTTTTCCTACTGCTGATGAAACTACAAAGTCAACTGTGTGTAATTGTGGCGTTGGGTTTTTTTTAATTAAAAGCAATTCCGTTTCCTTCTTGAATACATCTGTGCAAATAGTGTTGCTGCTTCAGGAGACTCATAGTGTTTTGCACTTTCTGTTTTCTTCTTTACCTTTTCCAGTGCCTGCTACCATTTAGATCCTTGTTGAAACCTCAGTGCTTCCAATTGCAGCACCATGGGAATATGTACAGAACTCTGAATTGGTTTAATTTTATATATTGACATAATGAGTGTGTCTCGTCTTATTGCTATGATTTCAGTGTATATCCTCAGAGTTCCTTATTACTGTAATCTGTGTTTCATTTCTCCCTAGGAACTTGAGACATTTTCAAGTGTCTTATCTCCTCTTTTCTTGCTTGGTAGATGCCCTCAATTTCCTATTTCTTTTTTTTCCATCCTTCAAAATACGTTGGGTTTCTTTACCTAAAAACACTCTAGTATAAGTCAGGGACTTCTGTTCTGCAATTATAGCAAGGGGTGAAGGAAAAAGGTAGGAAAACCCTCAAAAAAAAGTAATACACATGAAAGATTTAATAATTTTTCCTATACTTGTTTGTTATAGGAGGTAACATAACATGGCTGCTCTATCACTGGAGGTGTTCAAGACCAGGTTGGGTGGGACCTTGAGCAACCTGGTCTGGTGGGAGGTGTCGCTGCCCATGGCAGAGGGCTTGGAGCTAGATGAACTTTTAAGGTCCCTTCCAACCCAAACCATTCTGTGATTCTCTGATTTACACTTCTAAGAGCTGCACTGATGAAAGCTGAATTCTGTAAACGCCATCAAATCCAGTTTATACTAACACATATAGCTGCTTGACTATTGCTTTAAAAACTTCAGAAGTTCACTGTTTCTGTTTATACTCAAGTGAATAATGTGCTTTCCACAATCAGCAAATATTTTTGTTTGATTTTGAAAAATAGTTTTCCGTATAAGCTAAATGAGAGTTGAATTGAGAAATCTGTGGACCGTTGTGGTCTCAGGGAGATGTTCCAAGTGATGTTACAGAAGAAAAGCTTTTACTTGTGGGTCAAAATGATTTCTGAAGTGCTGCAAGAAAATTTCTTGTTTGTGGTGTCTCAGCTACAGAAAAGTTGCACTAAATTTTTTTGAGGAATAGAAATAAAATGAAGTGACATTCCACATCTATCTTCTGTCACTGTGTATTTCCCCTCTTGCTCTGCTGAAACAAGAGCACAAAATAGGTGTTCAAGTCAGTAGGAAGTACAGATGTTTTGTTCTGTTTTTCTCATATGAAAGCCACAGAAGCCAAGGATTCAAACCAAGAGGTGGCTTGACAGTGAATGAAAAGGAAGAAATAGAAGACAACAGAACATGCCAGTTCTGAGATGGAATGCTTAAAGCTACAGTTCCTGGAGACCATGTTTGGATCCCTTCTGTTGTCTCTTAGTTGCCATAACCAGGCAAGTTCAGAGAGTGCTGAGTAAAGGACATCCCTGGAGGTGAGAAGATGTGACTCCCCCTTTTCAGCTGAGGGAGGAGCAGTTGCAGCTGTTTTTGGCTGCAGTCTAGTGGGCTTTACAGAATTACTCAGCAGTTTCTTGAATCCAGTTGATCTGAAGACTGTAAGAACAGGTCTGAATGTGGGTGCTTAGGGAGATGGTTTAGCAGTGGACTTGGTAGAGTTAGGTGAATTGGTTGGACTTGGTGGTCCTGAAGGTCTTTTCCAATCTAAATGATTTTATGATTTTATGAGCTGAAGAAAAAATGTCCCTACCTGCAAATCACTGCGAATAAAGATTTTTCTCTTGCTTGCTGTTACTTTAGTTTTGGGTTGGTTTTCTTTGGCATGTAAGCAAGGATGGGGTTTACTTTTGGTTTTTATGCTTTGGAATTTTCAGTTTTGTAACAGTGACTACTTTTCTGAGCTTTATGATCAGCTGATGCTGAAGAGGCTGTGTATACAATGTAGTGATTTATTTCTGTAGAACAGCTGAAGCATAAGATATGTACTATTTTTATTGCTTTTTAAATGATGAAGGCAATCTAAACTCCATGTTGATGTATGCTGCTTACATCTGAAGAGATCCTTTACAAACATGCTAGTACTGCAGCCTTCAGTTTCTTGTCCTGTTTTCTTTTCTCTGAATTTACTCACTGCAGCACCATCACACACATCAGTACCATTCTCATTTTCTGAGAAAAAGTTGATTATTGAGCAGATAATGCAAAGACAAAACAGGACAAACGTTGCTTACGAACTGGCTACCTCACTCCTTCAGGCACTCCATAAAGCCATCACGTTCCACCTGATGGGAACTGATGTGGGTATGTTCAGGTGCTGCCAGTCCCCATTTGGGTGTGGGTGCTGTGGAATGTCCCTGGGGAAGTGATCCTTCATGGCTGGGTTCTTTGGGATTTGAAAATGCAAGAATTGACTCTGCTGTTACTGCTATAATTTTGAAAGCTTATTCACAAAAGCTGATCGTGTAACTTGTAAGGGAGTGCATTAGAGCCTGAACTTGGAGAATCGAATGACTTTGAGTGGAGCTCAGGCTTCTTTCTCATAAAAATGAAGGGAGTTTGTAGAGCTTGTTTTAAAGGGAAGTCTTGAAAAACTTCTGTGTTAACTTACAGGGAGAAATGCAGCCAAATTGCTAGTTATTTTAATACTAAATTAGCACCAAAGAAAGATGTGCTACATGATAGGAACTGGTCTTCCATTCTGCCAAATTTGTAATAAATATAAGATCTTGGATATGAAAAATAGATTGAGTAAGCTGGGTATTTAAAATGCCTTTTCCTTTTGAAGGCAAAAAAACCAGCTTTTTGAACCAAAACCTGTGGCAATTAGGGTGCTGTCGTAACTCAGAAATCACAAATTTAAACCCGAGCACATTTGAGATCATGAACCAGGGAGACTCACCAGAGCAGCCAGTGTAACACAGCTTTTCCTTCTGCAATCTTCTGTCAAATCTCACAGGATAAAAAGGCTTCCAAAGTACATCAGTGCTTTGTGTGACCTGCACCAGTGCTTGCCAACTTGGGAGAGGAATGATCCTAACCTGATGCTCCTAGAAGATCTACCACCTGCAAGAATTCTTCTGAGAGGCAGAATTCTCAAGTGGCTCAGCACAGTATCCAAGAAGGACAATTTTCATCCCCAACTTTAACTGCCAAATACTAAGGTTCCTTCTGCTGTTTGGAGGAAAGTTAAGCTGCCATGTATTTTTTTTAAATTATTTTTTAAGTAGCTCCCCATTTAGCTGGCCATCAGACCAAGATGGGAGATAAAACTTTCTGACTTGAAAGTTCTAAGACAGCTTCCTCATGGTTGTTCACACAACTGCCCATGGACAGCACAACTGCAGCTTTATCTGGAAAGTACAAGTTATATCATGAGCTGCTAAAATGAGGCATATGAAAAAGGACTGTTGGTGCTCCTGTCCCTCCCAGATTTAAATAACACCTGAATCAGGTGGTGCCTGGCTTCTTTCTCTGCTGTGTCCTAAAGCAGGTCTTCCTTCTCATGCTTGGATTTGGTACACCCTCCATCATGTTTTCTGACTTGAGCCTCCAATCTATTGTGTGTGTTGCAGACACCAGGTTTTAAGCATATTTTTTATGGGATCAGAGCTCTTGCAGTATCAAAAGCATTCCTCCAGCCAATTTCAAAATCCTGCATCTTTTCTTCAGGGGCTGGGGGATGCTGTCAGAACTTAGACAATTTTGGAAATGGTGACCAGATAAAGCATCTTTTGCAGTGTCAGCCTTAAAATGTTGCCAGTGTCTGAAGCTGGTGGACTTGGCATCTCTTGAGAAAGGTGGTGCAGGGTGCAGTGTGTTTGCTTCCCAGAGACTCCAAGATACTCTTTCTAACAGCATGCACCTTATTTTTGCCAAATTTTTAACTTTGCTTCTCCATGTGATTTCTATGTGCCTTTGGTGGAGAAGGATATCCTCACGTTTCTGAACTGTTATGCAGCATGGTTTTCTTTTGTTGAACACCTGTGCTTTCAGTGGAGCTTTCACTATACTTTAGTACCAAGTAGGACAGCCCTTAAAATTTTGCCTCTTATAGCAAATTGTTGTTTTCTCTTTCAAATGTCTGCTGAAAACAGGTAACGATCTCTAGCTACTCTCCAGCCCTTGCTGGACCTACTTTCTTATCCTATTTACTTTCAATTTATAGGCTTCTCAGCAGCTGAAGGGGGAAAGCAATACTCAGAAAACCCTATTCAGATTGTACATATTTCCCTACTATCCCTAAAACTAGACAACTGGGCATTGTGCTTTCTCATTAAGGCAGAAAAATATCAGTACTGCACAGTGTACTGGGGAGTCCATCAGGAAATAAAAATCTGTTCATGGATTTGGCCAGTTTCCCAGTCACTGATGAAGGTTTCCTGAAAAAGTGGAAAGCACGTCCCCAAGTCAATACATGACTTTCCCCATCAGATGGAGCTCGAGGACAGGTTTATTGGGCATTTCACTCTCCAGCAAGCTTTGATATAAGGAAAAATCTCCTCTGCAAGCTAAAGTTAGATGGGTCTTTCAGAAAGATCAAAAAGTGCTATTGAACTTGTTTTTCCTTTGCAGGAAGAGAAAAAGCAAGCTAGGAAAAGGCAAACCTCTGACCCAAACCAGAGCACAAACTGAATGAGAAGGGCTACCTGTGACACAGCCCGTGTCATCTGCTGCTGTCATTGCTACTGAACAGCAGAACACCAGCAAAGCAGTTCCCAGGGCTGATCAAAGTCTGACCCAGCAGTAGTGGAAAAGGGTGGGAGGAGCAGGAGTGAGGAGAGGAGAGAGCACTTGGAAGGAGAGAGAGCCCCAGGAGATTGGTGATTCTGCTTCACATTGCTGGAGATCCACTTTGACGCTTGTGTGCTGTGGATCTCAAAGTGCTCTGGGAAGGAAACAATGTTCTAGGATGTTTTGAAGAGCTTAAGACCATATTTCATAAAACCAATCTCCAATTTGATGTGCTTGTACGATGTGGCACCTGCTTCCAGCACGAGTGATCTGAGCAGGCACTGTTCTAATGGACAACCAGCAGAGCAGTAGGGTTCCTGAAACCTGCATTCATTATTTATAATTGTGTCATTAAAAATAACAACTGTTGGAAGAAAAAGGCAGCTTTTCCCAGATACAAGCCAATTGCTTGGTCATGGGAAAGCTCCACAGGGAGTAAACTAAATGTTGGTGTGCAACATTTCACATTTATTTATTTGGTCAGATTTCAGATGGGCCTGATATAAAACATCTAATCTAAACGGCCTGATCTGCAAAGAAGGCATGGCTTCAAAACTGAAATCCACACTCAAGGCTTCTTTCTCACTGGCACATGATTCTGATAATGCAGTGACTGGGTATTTGTTGACAATGTTACTGATGAAACATTTTCCTTTTGAAAGGCAAATTCAAACCTATTTTTAAAGCTTGCTGCCTTTGTTTGAACCCAGTTTTATTTCCAAACAGGAGGTGATCACTGAAGGATAGCCAAGTATTGCCTTCCACAAAAATAGTTTGTTGAGAATAGCTGGGTACATCTGACTCAGATTTGTAGGGTTCACATTGGCATCTTCTGCAGCTTAAACTTTGCTTTTGACACACAGCAGAAATTTGCATAGCTGGAACAGAGGAAAAAGACTGAAAGACCTGTGCCAATAAAAGAGTTCAGGAAGGTTTGACATTTCAAGTACATATGTGGAATGAATATTTTGGAAAAGCTGTTAGAAGGAAAGTCTTAAATCCCCATTTATAAAACTAATTCATCAACCCCACCCACAAACCTTTGAAAGAAATCTACCCTGTGATCTTTAAAAGGAAATTCTGATTTTTAATAGTTCTTTCAAAACAAACTTAAATTAAAAAAATTAATCTTATTGCCCACAGATTAAGAAATGTGCTAATGAAAAAGAAAAGTTATGATTTCACAGTGTACATTCTTCAATGAAAGTTATCAATCTTGTAACAAGTAGAATAAAAATGGTTGCTGCATTGTGCCGAAATGTGTATTGTGCTAAAGCAAGCTCAAAACTTAAGACTAAGTGGGACAGAAAGTGCAAATTCCTGAGAGCTACAGTTAGGTATCATTTATTTTAATGCACCCTCCCTTCCCATATGCACTCAAATGGCAGCCAGGTATGTAGGATGAAGAAGTCCATGTTTCTTATGGGTGTAACTAAAGTGCAGAGTAACCTCAACTGATTCCAGGGCCCTGCTGTGCCACTTTTCTGTACAAACAAATCAGACGGAACATTTTTGTTCCTTGGAGTGCATAGCTCTGACAAAGATTATCTTTTCCCTTTTACAGATGAGGAAACAAAAAGTAAAACAAGTTTGACCAGGGTCACAAGTGTGAGCAACAAGCTTTCTTGCCTCTCAGTGGTCCCTGACTCAAACAGCAGACTGCTTGCTTTGTCTACACGCAGCGCTCTGCAACTACCCTACTCTTGTGTTTGCACTGCAGCCAAGAAACTAAGGTGCAAAAAAAGCAGTTCTGAATAAGAACATTATTTATCTGTTTGAAGTTTGCTCTTTTTAGGGCTTCTGGTGTCCCACTAGGTGCCCTCAGTTCTTGTTGACATTAGTCAAAGTCAAGGTAATTCAGATTTCCTTTGGTGATACCTTTCAAAGGTAAAATATTGCCAAAAATTCAGAAAGTAAGAATTCAAGCTATTCAGGTCTTGTCTTTGTTACAACTCCCTTCTATAAACTGTATTTGCAGTTCTGCTTCCACAGCTTGTTGCTTCTCTTCTTCTGCATCACAGCTCTTCGAGCAAACCAGGCTTCAGGAATATATTTAATCTTCTCACAAAGTCTCTATGATAGGTGCATTGTGCAATTTTCAGTGTTACTCATATTAAAGCTTTGGTTAAAACAAATAATATTTGATTATAAATAAAATCTGAAATGATACAAATTTTTCTTACAAACCCATTCATCACTCAGCTTTCAACAATGACAACTGGGTACTGAACCCACATGACTTGATTCCACAAGAGATGATGTGATAAGGCACATTTCCATCCTATCTTAATGTAATTATGAAAAAATGTAATCAAAGCATTGCCATAAGTTATGTATAAAAGAGATTTTTTTTTTTTCTTTATCTTCAGCTTTGCAATTGCTCCAGTATTCCTTTAACTTAATTAATGGCATTGACTTTACCCAAATGGAAGTGGTTAGATCCACACTGAGGCTTGTGGGTTTTTTTTCTAATGGATTCCATAGTCTGATTAGATAGTTTAGAATCCTAATTGCGTGTGTCCATGGTTTATTACCAACAGTTCTCTTTTTGCTGTGTTCAGTATGGCTGGTTCTCAGGCTTGTTTCTCGGCCTTTCCCCTTGTGATGCCTGCCTAACTAACCGTGGTGGTGGCATAGGTCTTGCTGACCCATGTTCTGCAGTCACATCTTCCCTGCTTAAAGTGCCAAATCTTGGTCTCGTCAGCAGTGGCTGCCTGAACCCAACGGATGGCTGAGGCAAGGTGCTTGCCTCCTGCTGCTCGACTCGTCTGTCCTGGTTCCCATCAACTTCATTCTTCCACTCCACCCTAAACTCAGGCGCTGGCCTCTGCTGCCTCGGTCTCTGGTCTCTCAGGATTTTCCCTGCTCTGGGTCTTAGATTGAGCACTGTGGTAGCCGCATCCATCTCCGAGTCACTGCTGTCACCCACTGTGAATGGAAAACAGAATGAACATTTCAGGTGCAGAATATTACTGCCTCAGGAACACTGCTGTAACAGCACACTGAGCACTAGACGCCGCAGAAGAAAGTTTCTCAGTGTTTCCTACATTTGGTGTTTTCTGAATAAACCCAGTAACAGACACTTAACTGTGCTAGGACAAAGCATTTGACTTGCAAACTTCCCCTCAAAACTGTGATTTTTAGAAAGCCTTTTCTCAGCTGCTCCTTAATTGCCAAGTGCCCCTCTGTTTGAGTTGAGATTTCCCCAGTTCTGGCTCTGGACATGGAAAAACCTGTCTCTCTCTGAGCTACTTGGCATCCAGTCCCTGCTTATGTCCAAGCAGGATATGAAATGAGATATCTCAACCTCACATCCCACGAACTCTCATCTGAGAGGCACTTCCAGACCGTGACATGTACACGGCCTCTAGAAACTTGACTTTGGAAACGGAGTGTCAGTACTTCACAGAGCTAAGGATCTCCCAAGGTCAATGTACAGATGGGAGGAAACATCCCGTCCTTAATATGCCTGAATGTAAGATACCAAAGCAAATCCACCAGGCAAAACTCACAGGCTGCAAGTGCTGCAGCCCCTCACAGCAGGGTAGAAAATGGTGAAGGGAAAGCTGCCATAATCATTCAAGGAATGCTTTTAAATGATTGCTTTCAGGTAAACCAAGCTGGAGACATTCTGGATGTGTTCATGTGCATATATTTTCCCCAGAAGACTTCTTCTAAATTGATTAATATCTTCATCAAAACTTGCACACTTCAGTCATTTAATAATTTAACAATCATTTATGACGGCCTCAGATTTGTTCTTAGACTTAAGTCAGTTGTTTTAAACCTATCAAAGCAAACAACTGTGTATTGTGGAACTGTCATAAGAACAACTTCCTACATGTTATTTGTTTTAACAAGGTGAGGATGAGGTCAACAAAATATATGACCACATAATTGTCCATTCACCCAGATAATTATATATCAAGGAAGGTCTTCATCAGACTGCGTTTGCAGGCTTTTTCCCTGCTAAATATCTCAAATAATATATTTCTGACAATGGAATAATCTGGAGGCACATCTCCTCTTTAATTCTACGTGACAGTAGGTGACCTTTACAGACATAACTACAGAATAAAAGGCATCCTACAATTAGGAGAGCAAAGACGTAATTATTAACAGACAAAAACATGGTCTATTGCTAAATTAATTTGGAAGAGTGGAAAATTATTGGGGGGAGGATCAGCACATTTTAGTGACTATACAGAGAGATAATCTTCCCAGCAAGAGACCTTTCCTCGTCATGAGAGGAAATACTCCTGAGCATGGTATAAGCACAGTAGTGCAACTGGTAATCACCAAAAGCAATATATAGAATTTTCCAGAACACTGGTGAGTGTAGGCAGAAAAAACAAAACAAAACAAAACAAAACAAAACAAAACAAAACAAAACAAAACAAAACAAAACTATAGAATTCGGCAAAGTTTTCACATCAAATGGTTGTCTTCTTCCAGTTTTTTTTTTTTCCAGAACATTGGTGAGTGTAGGCAGACAAAAAAAAAAAAAAAATGAACAAAAAAACCCCAAAAACCAAACCAAACACACCAACCAACCAACCAACCAACAGTTTAGTTGCAAACCATTTTGAGAAGTTCTTCATAAGAACTATAAACTAGACCTCATGTCCTCATTTTCCTCTCTGTTTTTTCTCAGAGCAGTGTTCTCTACCCTGACCTCGGTGAGAAAAGAAACCAAATAGGTTCATAATCCAAGAGGTAGATCTGAACACTATAGAATAAAGACAAAGAAATGAGCCATTGTAGTGTTCCTCATGCAGAATCGTTTCAGGCTGCTGACTGCTCACGGGAGGAGATGTGCTGGGAGGACTACACAGTTATGGCATTTGAACTGAGAAAGCCCCACAAGAAAGCCCCACATTTCTTTACACTCTGGAAACCATTGCTTTTACTGCTCTAAGACCCCTGCTAAATATCCAACACCTAGAAATATGCTATGAAGGTATTCACTCTAGAATGAAAGCATGTGCACATAAAATATTTAATTCTTAGTTGAAAACCAATATGCTGATTTCCCTACGTCATCCCTAGAAAGACTTTCTTTCCATGGAGCCAAAATGACTGCAGCACAGTAAGACACAACAGAAAAACCTTCATTACCTCTGGAAGATGGTTTATTTCTCACTCGTAGTTTCTCTGGGAGTTTAGTGTTTTTAGGAAGTGAAAGGAATCTCTTAGTATTTGCAGCAGCCTGCACGCAAAGAAATAAAAGAAATGTGAAGTTCCTGCAGACTGAAGTTCCTGCATAATGTATGTTAAGATAAATGACTGAGGCTTGAACGGATTTATGTAACTGGAAGGCTGGAGAGTAGTTTGGGATTAGCTAATATGTGACTTTTTACTACACACTCAAGTTAATGCTGACTGCTGGTTGAGCTCTGGGCTAACTAAGGTAAAGACTGAGTAATCCCAGGCAGCTTAATCAGAGAAAAGCCAAGTGATATGCCCTCTGAGATCAAAGTTAATAAAGGTATGCTCTCTAACCTCTACCTTACCTGTACAGTTTTTCCTGCAGCAGGCAAGCTCTGCAAGCATGGCATCACCTCATGCTGCTCCAGTTTGGAACTTTTTATTAGTCAGCTGCAAAAATAGCATTGAGACTGGAGCTTGGGCACAAGAACTAATCTGTATTCCCATCCTGCAAGCGCTTTATGCATATGAATGACTTTATACAGTTGACCAGTCACAGTGAGGCTGATGGGGAAGTTGGGCTCCAGCATGATCATTTACCAGTTCAGGGCATAAAATTCATGTTTTCCCAAGACCAAGCCCTAAAGGCCCTGGGAGCAGAGAACACCTCATACTTCCTGGAACATGAGAGGTACTTTCCAGGACAGGTTGCTTTTATTTTAAAATTCAAAACTTTCTCAAGGGCATCCTTTCTTACAAAGACTGTTCAAAACCTTTAAACTGTACCACCTCTCTTCTGCCTGTACCATTCATTTTTTGCACACTCAAAGGGAACCTGAAAGGAAATTTATTTTCCATGAGAGATTTTAACACTTTGCATAGTGTTGTGCCGCTCAGGACCCCTATGCTTCCCTCTGTGTTGGACTTATCTAAGGATAATTATTTTTAAAACCACATCCCATGCATTTTATAAAAGCTGCAGACACTCTGTTTCTCTCCCTGGCCCCAAATGTCTCAATCCTGCTTAGTGTCATCAGTATTCCACCAAGTAAAACATTTATTTCTATGAGAAAGACAATATATGCAGCTGGGGTTGAGAGAGAAAATATCCTTTAGAAACAGACATATTGTCACAATTATCACCAGAGTAGCCCAGGTAATGATCACAAACGAGATATAGCACTTATTTGAGACATCATTCCAGCCTCACCTCCTAAATCACAACTGTACCAATGAAGCCACCAGCCACTAAATATTTCTGCAATGTGAAAGTACATCTTATAGGATAGTTAATCTCCCTAATACCTAGAATAGGTAGATGATATGGGGGATCAGCCTCCCTG